GGGTATATGTGCATGTAATATATATATATGAGTATGAGTATGATATATATATAATAATAATAACAATAATAACAATAATAACAATAATAATAGTAACAATAATAATAACAATAATAATAACAATAATAAAAATAATAATAATAACAATAATAATGATAATGATAGTAATAATAACAATAACAATAATAATAATGATGATAATGATAATGATAATAATGCTAATAGTAAATTATAATAACAATAATTTTAACAATAATAATTTTAATAATGATAATATCATTATTATTATTATCATTATTATTAAATATATATATATTTATATATATGCAAAAAAAATATGTTATGCTTATTTCTTTTAAGAAGTAGTAGGTAGTAGGTTTGTTGGAGGTTAGGCAGTAGATAGTAGGGCCAGTAACTGGGGAGGTTTCGCCAGATTCACAAGCTCCCGGACTGTTACTGTGATCTACTGTGATCTAACTTCCCAACCACTTGATGATGTGGTTGACATGATGATGTGGTTGACATGAAGACTATAGTAACCATGACCACTGGTCCGTGACTCGGAAGTTTGCCAACTAAACTTCCTTTGATTCTATCTATGCCCATTATGTATGCATCGAACACAAAATACTACATAACACGTCATATACAACAATAAAAACAAAATAACACAATGTTTTCTGGTAGGTGATTAATATAAATAACATTAAAATGTATCATTGATTCAATCATTTATTATCAATTATAAGAGAACATATCTAATGTCACCCACACCTCGCAGGAGAGCGGCTGGGAGAGCGGCTCAAATTGCCTTAGCGGAAATCGCTGTATGTTTAGCTGTATGATGTTGTATGATTTTGCAAATGTCTATGGTTTTTGATTTTTTGGGGGGGGATATGATCAGATGATATCAGATGTAGATGCAATTGTGATTGTTATATATATGTGTGTGTGTATGTGTAATTCAATGTACAGTAATGTAGTGGAATGTGAGGTAAGGTAAAGTAATGATCATGTACATGTACGGCAATGGAGTGTAATATATGTATGGATGTATGTATGTGTGCGGTGTGTATGGATATATGGATACGTGGAAAATATGTGGGCAATATATGTATATATAGTCAGTTATAGTTACATATATCATATCATACCAGATCATATCATATCATACCATATCATATCATATACATGGATATGGATACGAACACACATACAGTATGTGACTAGATTGATTAAATCAACATAACCTGGAAATTTCTGGATGCCAAATGATGGAAAACCTGATTTTTTCGGGCTTCAATTGGATTGATGCTCATCCCTTTGGAATATAGCAAAATAGCATCGTTACCCGTCCCCATATGACAGATTTCACCTTTGCTCCACCATCAACTCCATGAGATCTGCGCTCAGGTCACTTTTTGCTGCACGGGTTCCGGTTCGGTCCCATAGCCATAGCATTTCTTTCGGCGCATCCCCTGGCAGCAGCCCCTGTGTGGCAGATGGCACTGGGGCTGTACCATCTGCAGAGGGAACTAGACATTCGCCTCGACCACGCGCGGAACGGGAGCTGCTACCTGCAGGGCATGGCCACGACCAGACGGCTGCACTCGAATGCCAGATGCAGCGGGCAGGGTCTGTACCGACCCAAAAAAAAGAGATGTATCCCCTCCCCCGTTCAGAATTCAACCCTCTAAGATGGGCCCTAAATGTCCCAAACATGAAACCATGGTTGCTGGTGTGGTTAATCTCCGGGGTGAAGGGATCAATATCATTTGATATCATCAATTGTTCTTCAGTTGTGAGGAAGTTATTGAAGTCCGTGTTTCATCCGCAGCACTGGGCCCGGTTTTTTCATCAATTATATATACCACCAATGGTTGTTACCCCACAGGGGACATGCAGAGATGTCCATGATTCGTCCCACGTGGGCGGAATCACGAACAGCTCTGCGTTTTGGGATGTTCAAATGTGGCAGAACAGACAGAACAGACTGAGCCTGTCAGCACTTCAGGATCGAGAGGGAGTCCTATGTCATCAAACAAAACACAACAGAGAGGCAGAGGCAGCGCGTCTCAAGCAGAAAACTGTTTGAGGCTACGGATTTGTTCCAAGCTTCAGGAGTTCTGCGCTGCCGCTCACCGTGCTTCTGTTACACTATATAGGGAACGGACAAAGTGTGCACAGCATAAGGTCTACATCGGAGGGGTGCGCAAACCAGGGTCGACATGCCATTCGCTGATTGTCAGTGATGGGCCAACTGTTTCACTCAAATCACGAAAAAAGAACGAAGTACTGCACGCCAGTTGCGACAAACCTCTCCCAACCATGATTGTTGCAGCAGACCTCAGGTGGCTGTCAGCAATGGCAAAGGTTGCTTTACCAGCAGCCAACACTGCGCTGAGGGGAGTCTACTTCACAGCAGCCTCGAAAGCTGGACCAGATTCCGAGTTCTAAAAGGTCGCCCTGACGAAGCTCCTTATACAGAGCAGCACATCTCCAAAACCAACAACCGACAAGTGACTTAATGTGTCAAGTTCTTCCACTTCAGACATGTGCTACTCAGTCAGTAATGTACCAAAATTGTGATTGCTCGTGGCTCTAGTGGCCCCGATTTCGCCGTTTTTGCCAAGAGGTCACTTGACAAAAACATCTAAGGCAACAGAATTCATTCAGAATCTTCGCTGTCGTGTTGTTACGCCAGCGGAGCAAATTCGCCGGGGAGCGAAAGAATCGGCGAGAGGATGACCGGCACCTTGGGGGCTGGACAAACGAATCCAATGCACGTTGAGTCGCCCTGAAATAACTTGGGGGTGAGCCTGCGAAAAGAGCTGGCATTTAAGTGGAGATGTTTTTTCGAAAGATTGGGAAATGAAAAACAATAAAACGGCAGTGGGATTCTGAAATAAAAAAACGTGCGAATTAAAACGGCCATCTTTCAGAAAACATGGAACTCGCCGCAAGGCCCGTCTCAGAACTGCGATAAACTCATCCCGAACTTCGCCTTCCCCGGTCACCAGAGTCAGCCCGAATGGGCTGGAGCTGAGGCCGTGATGTTGGCACCAGAAACTCCAAATGTAAAGACTGGGAATCGGTTTCCCTCTGGTAAACTAACATAACTATGGAAAATCACTATGTTTAATGGGTAAATCCACTATAAATGGTGATGTTCCATAGTTATGTTAGTTTACCAGAGGGTAGAAACTGACAAAGACTGGGAACTGGATGGTACTGCTTTTTTGCAGCCTTTTCGCATAAGGCGTCTGGTCATTTGTGAGCCAACAGGTTTAAACCTCTAGGCCATGCTCTAGTTTACAAATTGTTGGCCAGTGGCTGACAGCTCCAAACTTCAATAAAGTATTAAAATATCAAGCCATTGAAGCCATTGTTCATACATATGATATACATATAAACTACCTCAACAAATTGTGGGGCCTTTTTTTCGCACCAACACCACGGCCTCGGTAAAAAACGCGGCGCGACAAGACGCGCGGTTCTCGTGTCAGCCACAGTTGTCGCCAGGCAGCTGGCGTCGCCATCGCCAGGATGATATACTGAGGAAGACGAGTAAATTACAACAGGATCCACGGATCCACCAGCCCCAATTTTACATCATTTTACCATATGGATGGTATACACCATCTTAAAATTTTGCTTTACTAACAGTATACCAGTTGGTTCAGATATTTGCTTCTCCCATGATCCATCTCATCGTGTACCCGGGGTTTACAGTACCTACCCTCTGGTAATGACTAACAGTTTGCTATTGAAAATGGCCATTGAAATAGTGGATTTTCCCATTGAAAATGGTGATTTTCTATAGCTATGTTAAATTACCAGAGGGTATATGTACACACGCACGTGTCTATGTCAATATAGATCTATCAGGGGACTGAGTCAAATTTGGGGGTGCCCAAAATCGATTCAAGCTGGAAGGTTGAACACTGGAAATAACCAACACCTGTGCGTCCCTCAGTTTTATTTTTGGCACCATGATAAATCATTGGATTTGGGTTTACATGGTTTTTGAAGCAAAACCATTTTTTCAGAAATGGAAACCAAATTGCTCAAATGGCTCAGCCCAAAGTGCCAGCCCCAACTGATTGCGCCCACACGCCATGTCGACCGTGCCGATTGCCATTTAGCATGCACTTGATTGCCAATCGTATCCAAGCAGTTAAACCGAAGTCTGACAGTCCCAAGTCTCGCATCAAGGCAACCCGGTTTGTCGAACCCCATTCTGGTCAAATATTGGTCGAACGCCCCCATATTGAAAAAAAGGACCACACAGCCATATGGGTTCGGGGGACCTGAACATGGTTCCATTCGAAATCTTGATGGGTAAAACTTACGAGATGATACACGTGGATACTGGTGTCCCAACACACACCATTTCAGCTGTTAAAGTTGGGGGGGTTCACGTTTTGGCAAGAATCGGCGACTGTGTTTTGGGGGGAAACGATCAATTTTTGGACCATCTATAGGAAACCGTCATGTCAGAATCGGCCGGGTCGACCTGAGCCTATATGTGGATGGTCAATCCAGTCAGTCCAAACCATTTCGTATGATGAAAACACCTTGGCAACGCCATATCCCTCTCATTCGGTTGGCAAACGTTCAAAGTTTTTTCCAATCATTATGTTGAAAATAGATTTAAATAACTGGTTTATCTATAGGTCCATGATGTATCATTTTGTTTCATTAAGAATGTTATTTTTCTCTGAACTCGGATCGCGATGCGCTTGGGTCTCAGGTTACGCTCGGCAAACCCTGTGTAGTGACTTGTCTGCGGCTCAAAATACCAGGACCAGTCTCGAGTTGAACAACTTGACACATTTGGAAAAATTGTTGGTTTTACAGTTGACACCAAGTTGACATTCTAACTTGCCAAAAGATGATAAGAAAACGAATTTCCATTGTGCATATTTTTTTAAAAAGATAAGCTTCGGCGGTATCCCCAACAGCCGCCACGTTTTATTACATTTTACAAATCTTTCTGAAGCGTGCTGCGAAGCCAAGCGCTGGAAAAACCACAGCTGTGTTTCCGTGAGTTAAATGAACCTGACATGGCTTGGCTTCTGCGGAACCCGTTAAACGTGACTTGGCTTTGCACCAAGGCTTCCTGGAACGTTCTCCGGAACGTTCTCCGGAGCCTTCTCTGACCTGAAAGCCTCCCAGACCTCAACCTTCTCCAGAACCTTTTCCGGAACCTGTTGAACCTGACCTCGCTCTGCACCAAAGCCTCCCAGACCTTCTCCGGAACCAACCCTGTTGAACCTGACCTGGCTCTGCACCAAAACCTCCCAGACCTTGACCAGAGGCTTCGCCGGAACCCGTTGAACCTGACTTGGCTTTGCACCAAGGCTTCCTGGAACCCTGTTGAACCTGACCTTGGCTCTGCACCAAAGCCTCCCAGACCTGCTTTGAACCTGACCTGGCTGCACCAAAGCCTCCCGGAGCCTTCTCCGGAACCTTCTTCGGACCCCTGTTGAACTTGACCTGGCTCTGCACCAAAGCCTGCCAGACCTTCTCCGGGAACCTTCTCCAGAACCCTGTCGAACCTGACCTGGCTCTGCAACCTTCTCCAGGACCCTGTTGAACCTGACCTGGCTCTGCACCAAAGCCTCCCCGACCTTCTCCGGAACCTTCTCCGGAACCCTGTTGAACCTGACCTGGCTCTGCACCAAAGCCTCGGAACCTTCTTCGGAACCCTGTTGAACATGACCTGCCTCGTCAGGCATCGTTCCTATCGGCTCTCCCTTCTCTTTATACCCTTCCCCCCTTTCGAAACTTCCGTCCCGCCTTGCTCGATTCAGAGCCACAAGACGATGTCGTTGAATTCATCGAACTGTTGGCCCAGGGAGAGTCTTGCACCAACGGCAGTCACGGCATTGAGCCGTTCACATGTCGGTTGGGTGAGTTAAGGGTCGGTTTTGTGATCCACATTGTCAAAGAGAGGGAGGGGTCAAAACCTATATTATACATTGTTATACCACATGTAGGGAGTTTTCAGGTGATGATCATCTACACAGCAGCTATATTTGATGTGAAAACCAGGCTTCAGTTGGGCTTTGTCAAAAAGAATGGACAAATCTTCAATGCCGGGCTGCCGTGGATGGTCGAAAACCCTTTTTCATCACGGATTCCTCCGATTGGGGCCCATTGCGTGCAGAGATTTCAGCAGCACCGTGCGTTCGGGGAGGGGCATGGGATCCATGAGATCCAAGGGATCCGGCGAGCCAAGACTGGAACGAGAGGACCTTGGGTGCCGGTGCCACGGGAGTCTCTGAAGGCTTTAGGGATCTTTAGGGAACACCTTGGACCATGATTTGGTGGGATCTTCACTTAACTTGCAACAAAGCTGCTGCTCAGTGTTCATAGAACCCGGTGAGTCCGGCTCGCTGCAAATGGACAAACCTTTCACTGCTGTGGGAGGGATGGATCCTACCATTGGGGAAGGTTGGAGCAGGTTGGAGGTTCAGTTGGTGGAACTCATCCAAGATGGTCGCAAGTCCCTGGCTAAAATCTAAGCCGCCCACCGGGAAAATAAACAAGAAATCTCCAGGCTTCAACCACACAATCAGAGAGCCGAACCTGGAGGTGGACGAAAGCTGATGCGCTTTGCCAAAGCCCTTTGCTTCTTTCTGTGCCGCACCTCAGTTTGTTTTTGGAAAGGGGCCGCAATTGCTCGCCTGTTGGGTCCGAAAGCAACGCGTTTGGGGAGCAAAACGTTCCACGGAAGCTCCAATCGATTCATTCAACCAGTATCCCTCAAGGTCTCCCACCTCAGTGGACGAACAGAGATGGCAATGCAGACACTCTCGGCCATTCTTGCAACCTTGCCTTGGTTGCCATGGAGCCGTGTGGCCGAAACCGTTGGGAACGTTGAGGAGTCGGCCGCCTATCTGTTTCCGTATACCCCAGGTGACCTATCCGATGGTCCAGCCGATCCGCCTTTTTTTCAAACCGATCTTCATCCCAAATGGCGAGTTGTTCCGATCTGACCTATGCGCCAAGGAACTGTTTCCAAAACCAGGCACAAGGCTTGCAGGTGCCCAGCCTCGGAGTTCACCCCCCGGAGATTCAAACAATGCCATGAATCCTGGAAGGTGGTGGCCCAGTGATGTTTGTTGCTTTAGAATTTTGATATATCTACCATACACCCTAGTTATCATTGGAATTATTTGCATCAACTTAGCTAACGACCTGGGGGTTCCACCTTTTTTTGAGACATTGACGGCGCCAGTCACTGGTCGATTCTTGGATTGTAGAACCCGCAGCCAAGCGAGGCTTCCCAATACCAGTCTGAAAAAAACCTGCGGTCCGACTAATCAAAACCGAAACACCCATCATCCGACGTCGGTTTCATTCGGGTTTGTCAAAAAAGTGTGCCCCATTCCATCCACTGGTTAAACTGGTAAATCCCCCATTTTCGACACACCCATATCATCGGTATGAATGCTCATCTATGCCCTCGATGTTGGGTTTAAGGAACGAAGTTGGTTACATGTGTATATATATATATATGCATATATACATATAATTTGTGTATGTATATATAAATATCTCTCTCTCTATAATAATAGATATGTTGTTCTTTCTTTCCTTCCTTCTTTCTTTCTTTCTGTCTGTCTGTCTGTCTTTCTTTCTGCCTGTCTTTCTTTCTGTCTTTCTATCTGTGTGTCTTTCTGTCTTTCTATCTGTGTGTTTTTCTATCTTTCTTTCTCTCTCTTTCTCTCTCTTTCTTTTTCGTTTTTTCTTTCTCTCTTTTTTCTCTCCCTCTCTCTCTCTCTCTCTCTCTTTCTTTCTCTCTCGTTCTTTCTCTTTCTTTCTTTCTTTCTTTCTTTCTCTCTCTTTTTTTTTTCTCTCTCTCTCTCTCTTTCTTTCTCTCTCTTTTTTTCTCTCTCTTTCTTTCTCTCTCTCTCTCTCTCTCTCTTTCTTTCTTTCTTTCTCTCTCTTTCTTTCTCTCTCTTTATTTCTCTCTCTTTCTCTCTCTGTCTTTCTCTCTCTTTCTTTCTCTTTCTTTCTTTCTTTCTCTCTCTTTGTTTTCTCTCTCTCTCTCTTTCTTTCTCTCTCTTTTTTTCTCTCTCTTTTTTTCTCTCTCTTTCTTTCTCTCTCTTTCTTTCTCTCTCTCTCTCTCTCTCTTTCTTTCTCTCTCTTTTTTTTCTCTCTCTCTCTCTCTCTCTCTCTCTCTCTTTTTCTCTCTCTTTTTTTCTCTCTCTTTCTTTCTCTCTCTTTCTTTCTCTCTCTCTCTCTCTCTCTTTCTTTCTCTCTCTTTCTTTCTCTCTCTTGATTTCTCTCTCTTGATTTCTCTCTCTTTCTTTCTCTCTCTTGATTTCTCTCTCTTTCTTTCTCTCTTTTTCTTTCTCTCTCGTTCTTTCTTTCTTTCTTTCTTTCTTTCTTTCGTTCGTTCGTTCGTTCGTTCGTTCTTTCTTTCTTTCTTTCTTTCGTTCGTTCGTTCGTTCGTTCGTTCTTTCTTTCTTTCTTTCTTTCTTTCTTTCTCTCTCTTTTTTATCTCTCTCTTTCTTTCTCTTTCTTTCTTTCTCTTTCTTTCTGTCTTTTTTCTTTCTTTTTTTCTTTCTTTTCTTTCTTTCTTTCTTGCTTGCTTGCTTGCTTTCTATCTTGCTTGCTTGCTTTCTCTCTTTCTTTCTTGCTTTCTTTCTGTCCTTCTTTCCATTTTTATTTATTCATTTGTTTATTTATTTCAATATTTGTCTATATATATATAAATGTTTATATATATATATATTTGTGTGTGTATATAATATATGTGTGTGTGTTATATCAAATATATACATTATATAGATATCAAATTAGGTTTCCATGAAATCCCATGAAACATGCCTATTGTTGATATCGGCTGAATCCCCGCTACTGTAACCGCGGCTATCCTGGCGGCCAATCTCAGGCACTCATGCATGACTGAGCCAACGGATGGTAAGACCTGCAAGGTGGTGCCCCGGTTGGTGACTAATGGTAATTAATGGGATTTAAAAAGCCTTCCTGTGATTTAGTGATCTAGCTAACTTGGCACATAACTCCGCTTTCATGTCTGGATTTTTGGTAGATATATCGAACTAGTTACTATGGTTTATAAACCAACTTGCACAACTGAGGGGGGGTACCACTGTGTGTGTGTGTTTCTATGTACATACATACATACATACATACATACATAGATACATACATACATACATACATACATACATTACATACATTACATACATTACGTTACATTACATTACATTACACTACACTACACTACACTACATTACATTACATACATACATACATTACATACAGACATACATACATACAGACAGACATACACACATACCTACCTACCTACATACATACCTACCTACATACATACATAACATTACATTACATTTAATTTCTCATTACATTGCATTGCAGTACATTAAATTACATACATACAATACAAGACAATACAATACAATCCAATGCAATGCAATACCATACCTTACCATACATACATGCACACATACATACCTACCATACCATACCATACCAGACCATACCACACCATACCAGATCATTCATACCATACCATACCATACCATTCATGCCATACACAACATACATCACAACCTGCATAACATCATACATTGCATAACATCATACATCAAATACATGACATACGTAACATACGTAACACACGTAAAATGCGAAACATGCATAACATGCGTAACATGCGTAACATACGTAACATACGTAACATACTGCACATACGTAACATGCATAGCATGCACAACATTCCTAACATTCCTGACATGCATAACATGCTTCAAATACATTACGTACATTGCATACATAACATACATTACATACCATATATTACATCTATTACATTACATGTTGTCACTCTGTTGCAGCTGTTGCTGTACGCGCCTTTGTCTGTTGGCACACAAAGGCTCAAGGCCTTGTTGATCCAAGATGTTGCACATATATACACTGGCACAACTGATGTTGTGAGAGGGCGTTGGTTCTTAACAACATATATATAAATATACATGCATCGACTTGTTGACTTTTGAAAGTTCACTAGCTGACTACATAAAATAGGGGCCACTTGGGGATGATTCCCGCTGCAGACCATAATCTATAGTGATGGCGTTGTGATGTCGTTGTGATGTCGTTATAAATTATCTGGAGATGTGTGTATGTAATGTATATCTATGCACAAATATATTCAAGCTGCTGATCTAGATGTGTACGAAAATGCTTGTTGACTTGTGCATGTTTTTTTTAATATATGTTTTATGGTCATCCATCCCATTTCACAGGAAACCTTGTATATTTAAATCGCTATGAAACTGGATTGATTGTTCCCATCCCCTATGGGTAGACCGTCCATTTTTGAACCACGAACCGGACGATGGGGCAATTGGGTCGAAGCCCACAACAAAATGGACTGTTTACAAATTGCGGTTGAAAGAAAATGTCCATTCCACAATTTCACCAGGATTCATGACATTAGAGAGAGATTCATGGGAACGATTTCATCGAATTCACCGAATTCACCCCGGCCTTCTGAGGCACGGCGTCTCTGACGTCAGGGATAGCCACAAATCCAACCTGCAACAAACCGTCGTGGCTTTCCGGCCCATCCGGCCCATGGCCTTGAAAAAGTGGCCATGGCCAGACTATGGCCTGCTCAGCCCAGTCAAGAAGCGATTGAATTTGACGAAATCATGGGTGGCCACACCGACGGCCAAAGCCTGCCTCTTTGCCAATGAGTTCGGCGATGCGAATTGGAGTTGGTTGGGCGATCATCCTTAGGCCAAGGAGAACAGCAATGGCCGTAGATGGGAACTCAACTGTTCCCTCTTTTCTTCTTTTTTTTCCCTTTATTTCATACCTCAACTGTGGAGTCTGATGCTGCTCTAATAAGTTGGTGTTTCCACCACTCCTGTTGAAAGCCGGCCATCCCATTGTTGCCATCCCATGGGTGACAGGAGCGTATGCCCAACAACCGCGGCTTATATACCCTCTGGTAATGACTAACATAGCTATTGAACATGGCCATTGAAATAGTGGATTTAACCATTGAAAATGGTGATTTTCCATAGTTATGTTAGTTTACCAGAGGGTATATAACACTTCGTTCCGAGCGATATTAGCTGATTCCCAGATCACAAAAAAAAACACACCCACTCGGTCACATACACTCCCAGCGATTGATTGCATCCAGAAGACATTTTCCTGGTAGATGTGCAACTTTGCCACACCGCCGACGCACTTTTTTCCAAGGTGCTCACCGAACCGAAATGGCGAAGGCCAAGGTGTTTTTTGCAAAACCCCCATCTGCTCCCAATGACCTTTGCCAACACCGAGAATTGCCACTCGAATCAGTGCTATTCAGCCAACCCCCACCGGTGAAGTTGCTGGTGAAGCACCCACCTGGGGTACCTCTAGGATACCTCGTACCTGGGGCACCCGGCCGATGCTGAAGGTCCTCGTCTCACCAACTCCAGCTGCTGGGCTATAAAGTGATCTTTGGGACTTGATGTTTGGATCATTAGGGGAAAAATGAATACATCAAATCTACTATTATATACGTATGTATGTCTGTCTGTCTGTCTGTCTGTCTGTCTGTCTGTCTGTCTGTCTGTCTCTGTCTGTCTCTGTCTGTCTGTCTGTCTGTCTGTGTCTGTCTGTGTGTCTGTCTGTCTGTGTCTGTCTGTCTCTGTCTGTCTGTCTGTGTCTGTCTGTCTGTGTCTGTCTGTCTGTGTCTGTCTGTCTGTGTCTGTCTGTCTGTCTGTCTGTCTGTCTGTGTCTGTCTGTCTGTGTCTGTCTGTCTGTGTCTGTCTGTCTGTGTCTGTCTGTGTCTGTCTGTCTGTCTGTGTCTGTCTGTCTGTGTCTGTGTCTGTCCGTCTGTCTGTGTCTGTCTGTCTGTGTCTGTCTGTCTGTGTCTCTCTGTCTGTGTCTGTCTGTCTGTGTCTGTCTGTCTGTGTCTGTCTGTCTGTGTCTGTCTGTCTGTGTCTGTCTGTCTGTGTCTGTCTGTCTCTGTCTGTCTGTCTCTGTCTGTCTGTCTGTCTGTCTGTCTGTCTGTCTCTGTCTGTCTCTGTCTGTCTCTGTCTGTCTCTGTCTGTCTCTGTCTGTCTCTGTCTGTCTCTGTATGTCTCTGTCTGTCTCTGTCTGTCTCTGTCTCTGTCTGTCTCTGTCTGTCTCTGTCTGTCTCTGTCTGTCTCTGTCTGTCTCTGTCTGTCTGTCTCTCTCTCTGTCTCTGACTGTCTGTCTCTGTCTGTCTCTGCCTGTCTCTGTCTGTCTCTGTCTGTCTCTGTCTGTCTCTGTCTGTCTGTCGGTGTGTGTCTGTCTGTGTGTGTGTCTGTCTCTGTCTGTCTGTCTCTGTCTGTCTGTCTCTGTGTGTCTGTCTCTGTGTGTCTGTCTCTGTGTGTCTGTCTGTGTGTGTCTGTCTGTGTGTGTCTGTCTGTGTGTGTCTGTCTGTGTGTGTCTGTCTGTGTGTGTGTGTCTGT